ACAGTCCACCAAGCTAACCACGGAACCCAAGGTCCACAGTCCACCAAGCTAACCACGGAACCCAAGGTCCACAGCCCACCTTGGGTTCCGTGGTTAGCTTGTTCACAGTCCAGCAAGCTAACCACGGAACCCAAGGTTCACAGTCCAGCAAGCTAACCACGGAACCCAAGGTCCACAGTCCAGCAAGCTAACCACGGAACCCAAGGTCCACAGTCCAGCAAGCTAACCACGGAACCCAAGGTCCACAGTCCAGCAAGCTAACCACGGAACCCAAGGTCCACAGCCCAGCAAGCTAACCACGGAACCAAAGATCCATAGTCCAGCAAGCTAACCACTGGATCACGCTCGGCCTTTTTAGATATATAGTTCTTCCAAAAAATGTATTTTTATTTTAGGAATTTTTATTTCGACTTAATAAAACTGAAATATATTTAATTTCAAATCTTCACATCTAAAGAAGACCTGAATACAGAATATACAAGAAAGTACTGGCGTGAAGTTAGCGTTGGGAGACATTATTGTGTTAACTTCACCTGAACAATACAAACATTAACAATATACAAGAAAGTACTGGCGTGAAGTTAGCGTTGGGAGACATTATTGTGTTAACTTCACCTGAACAATACAAACATTAACAATATACAAGGAAGTACTGGCGTGAAGTTAGCGTTGGGAGACATTATTGTGTTAACTTTACCTGAACAATACAAACATTAACCATTTACAACTAAACAGTGCAGATAAAATTTTTATTTTTATTTAAAATATTGAGAATGTCAAACAATATAGCTAACCTAAACATATCCGGTCCACCCGAATACTCACGTGCATGAAATGTGTGTTCAGTTTGTTTAAGCTTAAATGATCACGTTATACAGATTTATTCGAGAAGTGGGTTACTAATATCTTTGAGGATTATACAGTTCCATATTAATTTTCATTGAATTTAACAGACATTAAATACTGAATTCCATACATTTAATGGATCTGAAACTTGAGCCAGAGCTAAGATTACTTTAGGAAATCCAAAACTCGCAAACAGTGTTAAAAGATCTTGAACTGTCTTCCACGACGTTACTTTCTTCCTTGGGAGTTGAAAAACTAGGTCTACCGTGGGGTTTGTTTTATCTGTCCTGCTTTATGACTGGAACTGGCTCAAATAATATGGCACACTTAGAATTATTTAATAAACTGACAGGATAACGTAATACAATAGGGTCCACTGACTCCTTAATTTCGTAGGGAGCGAGCGCCCTCACGAGCCATTTCTTTACGCTGGTGGGCCCAGCATGGCCAGGTAGTTAGGGCGCTCGACTCGCAATCTGCGGGTCGCGGGTTCGAATCCCCGTCACACCAAACATACTCGCCCTTTCAGCCGTGGGGGCGTTATAATGTGACGGTCAATCTCACTATTCGTTGGTCAAAGAGTAGTCCAAGAGTTGGCGGTGAGGGGTGATGACTAGCTGCCTTCCCTCTAGTCTTACACTGCTAAATTAAAGACGGCCAGCGCAGACAGCCCTCGTGTAGCTTTGCGCGAAATCCATAACAAACAAACAAACTTTACACTTGCTACATTGAATGCAAGACAATGTTAGAAGTGAACGTATCCTTATCCTGAAAAACACGTTAGTCACTTCCTCTCTGTATTTATGTTGAAACGCATCATTTACTTATCCCCACAAAACTGAACCTATTCTCTGATAAGGTTTCGTATTCTCACTCCTAATTTTACATGTGTCACCAGCGAAATGACACTTTTACTTAGAAACTGTACATAGATAACGTCAATAATAGCCTATTGTTCTCAGTTTAAGTGACGAGTTGAGTGAGCCAGATTCTGCGATATTTGTTTTTTTTATAGCAAATCCACATCGAGCTATGCGCTGTGTACACCGAGGGGAATCGAACCCCTGATTTTAGCATCGTAAATCCAAGACGTACCGATGTCCCACCGGGGGACCCCAGATTATAATTAATAGGCAACGCCGCATGAGCCACTTAAAATACTTAGACTTGTAATGTTTAGACTTTAAGCTCCAACATTCTTCTTTTCTTCTGTAGCAAATTTTGGCTTTACTGTTACTATCACGCTGACAATAGCCCTGCAGATTCCACTGCAAAAGACTCCGTCGCAAAGTTATCATGTCAAAAGCCCACCCCTATTCCCTTTTCCTTTCCATAATCTATCCAGTGTAGGAGGATGACTGTTTCCTAGCGCTAGTTTCAGTAGTGATTACACAGAAATCCATGGGAGTTGCATTTAATGACTTGACCTGTATATCTTCATGTAGAATAGCATGAATAACCTCTTCATTCTCCAGCTACTTGAGTTATGTGACGATTGAATGGATATAACCATGGAAGCAACGTGTGACTTGTGTCACTTTTCCAGAGGGAGATCCTTCATGATTATGCTATCTAATGTCGCTAGGGGTAACTGAATGGTTTTTGCTACTAACCCTTGTGTGCTTGAATTATCACCTGTTAAGGCTACATATTTTGCTCACCAGAGCTGAGGTGCAATTTGTTGCAGGTCTTTCTGAATGGTCCGGATTCCCAAAGATTCTCAATCTGCACACTTCTTTATGATACCACTGTATGGATAACCTGCTTTGAAAAGAGCTGCTACTTAGTATTTCCAAAACTATAAATTTTCTGTGGCATCCCTACGTTCACAAAAACAATGTCAAAATGAAGTTTTGATATCTGGCTGTGGGGTTGTCACGTGACTTGCTAGTTTATATGTTCAAAATCGTTTTAACTTAAGGTACTCAACCCCCTGTATTACTGTAGATAATGGGAAATGAACTTTGTAACACAAATCAAGCAATTTATAGCTTGTAAAATGCAATTGTCACTGAACCACGTTTTTCTATTATTGTTTCAACTTGCACTATCTTAACTAGTGTGTGCTATCTTCCACTATGCTTGTCAATTGTTCCATGTAGGCAGAATAGGATCACATATACTATTACCGTGGAACCCAAGACCCAACTATGTGCTCTACCAATCTAATTATAGGATCAACCCATTAGTCACTAGTGAAGTGCTAATCTCAGAATGATAGAGCCCTGCTAAAATTTGTCAGATGTGTGACGTCACCATCAGGGTAGAGATCTCGTATTCAAGACATTGCAGTTTTTGAGAGTTAATTTTAAATAACAAAAAGTACTATTTGGCTATTTCCATTGTACTAAGTTAAATACGCATATACTATACAGAGAAACATGCAACTGAATTTCTTCTAAATTAAGCAGCAGGGGAAAATAATAAAATTCACTAATATTAAAACGATTAAAACGCATCTTTTACCAAGTTAATACTGTAATGCAGTTAAAAAAACATCTATAGTGCTTTACACACATCCTTCCAACACGAGTAACAACAACAAAAACTACTTCATTATGTGTTATGTAAATATGCCTTTTAAAAATGTGCATGTTGTAAACACAGTACATTTGCAAAATGTAGTAAATGTCTTTGTACCATATTCATGTCTCAATAACATGTGAAGTATAACATTTCAATTTCAACGTTCTAGCACCTGCTCTTAAGCTAGAACGGTTGCACGGTGCCTAATACTAGCTCCTGAGGGAGAGTGATATTGTGTATGTGTGCGCGCGCTGGGCGGTCCGAGAGGTCTACTAGTGCATACTGGGATTACTGGGAAAGACTGTTTTTAATAACATGTGAAGTATAACATTTCAATTTCAACGTTCTAGCACCTGCTCTTAAGCTAGAACGGTTGCACGGTGCCTAATACCAGCTCCTGAGGGAGAGCGATATTGTGTATGTGCGCGCGCGCTGGGCGGTCCGAGTGGTCTACTAGTGCATACTGGGATTACTGGGAAAGACTGTTTTTACCGATACCCATTCAAAGTGTGCTAACGTTGTCGTCAATTTTTTCTATAACTTTCAGTTCTAACTGAAGAATGGAAACCATTTTCAATGAAGACAATAAACAACTTCAGATATATGTTTATTTATTCTACCCGACATTTCGGCTTACGCCTTTTTCAAGGGTCTACAAACGTCACAATTTACAAAACGACATAAGTCGAAACGTCGGATGAGTTAGCAAAATCAAAATCTCATGAGCACCGGAACTGAACTTGACTAACCTAATTAGCAAAATCAAAATCTCATGAGCACCGGAACTGAACTTGACTAACCTAATTAGCAAAATCAAAATCTCATGAGCACCGGAACTGAACTTGACTAACCGTTAGCCAATTATGTAAATACGTCCCATCCGATATGAAAAGCTAAACACGTCGGTATCTTTGCTTTAAAATGTAATTAACATATTGTTTATTGAGTCGCAAATCCACTCTGTGTAACGTGCTTTAAAATGAAAGATTTGATCATTTATTTTAGAAATATTTTAAATTAACCTTAGTATTTTACGAAAATACAAAAATCCAACCTTCAAAGGTCACGAATACAAAGTTCCAGAACACTGGATTTAATTTGCAGCGTTTTTAAATATAGTTTTGTTGTGATAAACTGACGTCATTTTTAACGAAGACGACAAAAACTTCAGATAAATGTTTATTTATTTTAATTTTTACCGCAGCTGAATTAGAAAATATATGAAACTATATTTTTCGTTAACCAGTCAAACCTCCTCTAGAGCCTGAACCCAGTGACCGTTATAGTGGTAAGGTATTGATATAACGAAAACAATTCAAATAAACCGTCAGTTACGACCACTTTACATATATACTTTCCAGTTTAAACTAAATACTCACCGAAATAAGACAGAGGTAGTGAAATAATCTTACAAAATAGAAAAAAATATATATTTTTTGGTGCACCTGAAAAAACTTTACCGAACTGTAGTGTAGGCTATTGAACATTAGTTGTCATTGGTCATTCTCTGTTAATACCACGTGATTGCTTTATAGTTAGACATAATACAATTAGTGAAACTCCGACAGTTTTAATTATCAAGATCGCTTAATGTCGTTAAAAAAAATGTTTCAAAACCACAGTCCTACCTGTCCGTAGTGATGTCTAGAGAGGGCTGGAAGAGAGGTACGCCGGGATTTCCCGTGACTGAGGACATGTAGCCCGGCATAGCTGGAGGTTCGACGCCGACGAACAGCTAGAATCTTGCCGTCCTGAGTGATGAAGGATGAAATAGGAGGGCGCAGAATTGTTTCGGTATGCTTGGCCAGCAAAACACCACATAGTCCGCACACGTTGATCAGCAGAGGGGTCCCATAAGCTGGAAGTTCAGAGACACACGACAAGGCCAAGATGCGAACAAGAGCAAAGAACGATACTACATCAACACTCAGTCGGCCTGGGAGATTGGCTAGGGCGGCAGCCCCTGCCACGGAGACCATATAAATTAAGAGTTGCCCTACAAGTGCCATACTTAAATCTTTATTCTGGAATTTCTCTTGTCCAGTTATTGTGCTTAAAGTTAAATCATCCGGGTCTACAGTGCTAGTAGTAGACTTGTAAGTGTCCTGACAAATACATCGACCAAATATTTCACCTAACAAGCCTGCAAAAAACAGGAAATAAAAACTCGTAGTGTCGATTTTTTTCCGACTGTACAAAGCTAACATGTAATACGCACAAACTACCGAAAATAGAGGAACAACAAATTGACAAAAACGCCGAAAAAAGTCCGCTAGATCGCAAGCTAGAACAATGTAAGCCAAACAACAACAAACTACTGTACCAGCACCGTATAATAATGCCGCGTGCTCCGGCGAAAGCTCGAGATTCGGGACACCCAACCAGCTTAAGATGATACTATATTTCTGTCCTTCGAGAGGTTTAACCAGCACTTTCACATAGCCGTTATTGTCAGGCAGATCTGTATCCGAATGATGGTTGTTCTTATGGATAGAATTGCGTGCAGCAAGAATACTAGAGTTAAAAGAAGCCATGGCTGTTCCTCAACATCTGCTCATCCCCTATGATTCGTCTGACAACCGAGTCCTTCGTACGTTCTCAAAAGGCACAATATAGAGCGCAATGCATGCTGGGAAAACAAGTTGACCTTCACAAGTACGGGAAAATAATATCGCGCCAGCAGTAGGTGTGATACAGCTGATGCCGATGACCTCAGCCTCGTCAATTCATTGTTAAAGTCATTGTTAGTATAATATTAACAATGAAATCGCGATTAACGAGAGCGGTAGGCGCGATAAGCACATGTCGAGTTAACATGTTTTTCAAATATAACACTCGCATGGATATAATTCAAAGAGCTAAAAACTAAAGGGGGAGGGACACACATATATATATTTTCTATGCCCGGTGCCAACAAGGCCTTTTGCAAAACATAAAATGGGACAATCTGAAAAGCGATAGTTCTGGAATATCACATGGATTTTAGACGTGGACCACAGCTGCTGTGTTGATCGGAGCCCATTTTTTAAACCGTTGCTGTAATTGAGCCCAAATGTCGTGGGTTTAGCTACCGTATTTTTCGGTGTATAAGACGCACTTTTTTACCCCAAAATTTGATGTCAAAATCTGTTTGCGTCCTATACACCTAAGGTATGAATAATATATATGTATATATACGATATACACAAGTCATGTGTAAATATATTTAAATAGGCATTCATAGTTTAGTTCAATCGAATGCGTTATTTATAACAATAGTAGTTTTTTTTCTTTTAAACACATAACTATTTATAATTCT